ATCATAATGATGACTTGAAAATATGTTCAGTGGCACATAGCATTGCTCCCAGTGGATATTTTGAAAGCATCATTGAAGGAAAGAATACACACATTGAATTAGATAGGAGGAAAGCCTACACTAAATCTACAATGGATGTTTTTTACAGTGCCTGTTTTTTCTGGTTTTGATATTTGGCAAAAATATAATTATTCAAATAATGATTTTAACAAGATGAATGATTTGACCTTGTATCTTGTTAAAAGCAGAGTTAGAAACTTATTTTTCAACAGGGCTTATAATTTGATTTACGGCAAGTTTTTGAACAAATATGCTGATGATGTTGAAGTCATTTATTACAAAATTCCATCTAATACATACAAAGTTAATTACAAAAAATAGTTGATGAACTTTGGAAATTGAAACTGGATGAGGATGAGGAGAAAGAAAAGTTGAAGAAACAAATGATTGCTTGTATCAACATTGGTCTATTAGAAAAGCAAACTAACAAGGTTAAAAAGTCCATAGTGTTTTCAAAAATGGTTGATGCCTTTTACTATCAAGAAAAATACGGTGGTGATATAAGTATTATCACTGAAACTACATACGACCGCTATTTCAATGATGGTTATGATGATGATGATATGCTGATTGAAAGAGATGAAATGGGGAATGACATTGAGAATATTGAGGATGATAATGGTAATGATATTCCTGAAAAGATAGATGAGTGCAAGCATTATGTGCTGAACATATCTGACAAAAAACTTTGATGAATGGATATAGGTTTATCAAAGAACTTATTTTACAACATCATAACTTTGATATGAATGAGGCTTGTAAAAAAAATAAAACACAATGATGTTGAAGTCTATTCTGTAAAGACTGACGCCTTTGTGATTGATAAATTTAATCTGGGCAAAGCAAGGGAGGTCTTGAAGTTTGGTAGTGAGATTGGAGAATGGAGATGGTCTGATAAATTCATTTTTCCCAGCAAGGCATTTTGTAAGAAACCCAGTAATTTGTGTGATATTACTGAATATCAAAATATGACTGGTGAAGTGAAGGATGAATGGAATACTGATGAAATCATAGATGAGCATATTTTGAAGGTTGATGATTAGAGGGGAAGTAGCAGGAACAGGTAAGAGTTATATATGTAAGCACCTACAGAAGAGAAACTATAAAGTTTTGTTCGTAGTCCCCACTAATAATTTGAAACAAGAATGTGGAGCAGAAGCAATGACAATAAATAAGTTTTTTGGAATATCTTATGGTGATGAGAGGCTAGAAAAGTTTGATTATTCTGATGTTGATGTTATAGTGACTTTAGTGTTTGATGAAATCATCTTCCATAATGTGGGCAAGTGGCTTTGATATGGGACTTCTGTAAGAACAACCCTGATAAAATTGTAGTGGCAACTGGAGACACTAACCAGTTGAAAAATCCAGAGAGGGTAAGCAATGTAATGTCATTTGAGAAGTATGCTAATCATTGTATTGATTTGATTTCAATAATATTAAATTGTATGAATGTAAGAGGTTGAAGACTGAAGAAGACAGAAAGAAACTTTATGATATAAAAGGTATGATTATGAACAATGAGCCAATCCTTAATGTCATTGAAAAATACTTTGGATGAAGTGATGGCAATGAGATATGTGAAAACAACATCGCTTATACTAATAAAACTTGTAGAGAGGTGAGTAGCAGAATGAGAAAGATGAAAGGTATAGAAGATGAATATGTGATAGGTGAGGAGGTAATATGTAGAAAGTATGTTAAGAATAAAGGGATGAAATTTAATGTGAATTTTAAATTCAGGATTTCAAATATTGTTGGCAATATTGTTGTTTTACAAAATGTGGCAACTAATGAGAAGCAAAATATAGAACTGAAAGTATGGAGAAAGCATTTTATATATGCTTACTGCTACACCTGCCATAGTAAGCAAGGCTGTAGCGTAGATGATGACATTGTGATATATGACTGGAGCAAATGGTATTGTAGCAAGAACTGGTATTGGACAGCCATTACTAGAGCCAGAGATTTAAACATTAAGGTCTATAAATATGATGCTGATGAAGATGATTTAAGTAAGTTAAGAGTAGAAACATATTTCAAAATAAAATTATGAACTATGAAGAGCAAAATAGGAGAGCAGGTAGAGATGTAGAAGATGGGGATTATGTAGATGTTGAGTTTTTGATGAACCTGATGAATACCCAGTGTGAGAATTGTAATGAACCATTGGTGATAGATTTTGAAGATGGCAGGATTTCATCAAATGTAACCTGTCAAAGGGTTAATAATGAACAAGGCCACTTCAAAGATAATTGTATAGGCTTATGTGTTCAATGTAATTGTGCTTTTTCAAATAAAATATCATTATAAATATAATGGCTGATAATAAACAGAAGATTATTAGTGATATTTATTTTGATAGAAGTGGTTATGGGAGCAAGGCTACAACTTTAAAAGATGCCAGAGAGAAAGATAAAAGTATTACTATGAAAGATGTTGAAGTTTTTTTTAGAAATAATGTTGATATTAAGAGAAAGCATAGGGGTCAGAACAGTTTTGTAGCCCCCCACAATAATCATACTTTTCAACTTGATTTATTTTTCATTTCAAAAAATGATATAGAAGCAACACAAAAGTTTAGAGCTGGGTTGGTAATGATTGATGTATTAAGTAAATATGCTGTAGTAGTCCCTATTAAAAGCAAAAACCCTGCCGATGTCATCGCTGGAACAATGGAAGGGCTAGAAAAGATGAGGGCAAAACCAAAAATCATATACACTGATGATGAAGGTAGTATAAGTGGTGCCGACTTCAAGCAACTAGTAGAAGATGAAGGAATTGAACTTTATAGAACTAGAGGTCATCCAGCCTTCGCTGAAAGATTAATTAGGACATTTAAGGATAAACTATTTAAACGGGCTGAGAATGATGAGAAGAAAGGAACACACAATATTCAATGGATAGATTACATAACCGATATTTTACTAACATACAACAACAAGGACGTCCATAGTGCTACTGGACTAACTCCAAATGAAGCAAGGAAAGAAAGGAATGAGTTTAGAGCAAAACTTAATGTTTCAGTAAAAGCAAAGAAAGAAAGGATGTATCCAACATTAGAGGTGGGAGACAAAGTAAAGATAATGAGAAAGAAAGCAATTCCAGAGAAAGAAAGAACTTCCCACTGGCTGAAAGGTTATTATGTTGTGCAAGATATTGCAGAAAAGTTGAACCAAAAATATTACAAACTGACTGATTACCCAAGATTGTTGATGAGGCATGAACTTTTAAAGATTTAGGGTTTTTAGAAAGCCTTGTAAGCATTTTTTCCCATACTCACGCCTATTGATGCAACCATGAGATGGTTGATTTGATGTGCTGTTTTCTGGTTTCGTGGGTTTTGTGTTTTGCCCTTCATTTGTTTTCCCCACGAATTTGTGTTTGGCACTTTTGGGTCATTGGCTGGGATTACTCTATGTTCCTTTGTCCTTCTGCCCCGTCATGGCTTCCTCATCAATCTCTTCTGCATCCTGTTGTCGGGCCGCTCAGCTTTTTGGCAATATGTCAGTCGGAGTTTTGAAGCTGTGAATTTGCCACATGTTCTTGGAGAACTTGACTTGACCATGGAAGCTGTTTCAATTTGAGCGTCTTTGACATTCTAAATTTTGAAAGCTACAGAAATTAGCTCTTTCATTTTGAGCTTGGAATTTTGTGTGATTTTCCAGCATCTTTATGTTCTCCCGTAGCTGTTTTGGGAAGTGTTTCCTCAAACCACTCAGGGGCCTTTTTTTGGTGGTGTCGGCAACGCCATGGCGGTCAAATCCGTTGTGTTCGCTTGCCTCATCCTTGCAGTGAGCTCTGGAGCTGCAGCCAACACCACCACCAGCAACACCAGCACAGTGATTCCCTGCGGGGAAAACATGAGCTGCGACACAGCTTACGAGGGCAGTCATGTCACCAATCATGGGTATCGAAGGCGGAGGAGTCGGAGAAGGACTACTTACCGCCGGAGAAGAACAACTAGGCCATGAGGGACACAGCAAGGGCTTGTGATGCTTCATGCCTTGTCTTTAGAAGCAAGTAGAGCGAGTTGCAAAACATTGTTTGCTTCGCCAACCGGGCGACTTTCAAGACAGTGCTCTTAGCGGAAGCTTTTGTGGCTGAAAAGGTCATTCATGCCAGTGAGCCTTCACAAGTTTCCAAATACTTGAGAAGACTGACACCAACAAGGATGGACGCACACAAATCTCTTTCACTCCATTTCGCCCCAAAAGTTTGGATTGCTGTGCCATTCACATCGCGCTGAGGTTAAGAAGACATGGTCATCAACAAGTTCATGAAGGGTGGTTTGGGCATGGCAATTGCGGTAATTAAAGAGATTTGGGGTTGAGAAAGATGTGATGTTGTTGTGACATGCTAATTTGTATGTGTGCTGGTATGTATGCTGGGGGTTGGGATAGTATATTGGCTGGTGGCTGAGGCTTCCCCTATAGGGGGAGACTCTGGTAATTAATCCCATAATCTTCATAATAAATTATTATGACAATTATGTTAATTATCTCCATAAATTTGATAAAATAATTCTATTAAAATTATGTTGCAATTATTTTCCAGGAATATTTCTAGCAATCATGATTTCTAGAAATAACACCTACGAAATAGATAAGGTAAGATGATGTATATTTGTATATGCTTTGATGAAACATATTCAATACAATTGTGATGATTATACTACAGTTATGGCCATTTATCAGTTATAACTGGTTATTTCAGTGGGATGAGAAACATTCTATAAATGGGGTGACTTCTTAGTACTTATAACTGGTATAACTCGGGCCATAACTGTATACCATATGGTGATATATTATCATAATGGGAATTACCATATATTCCATATGTTATAACTGGTATAACTCGGGCCATAACTGTATGGGAATTACATATAATGGATGTTATAAATGGTGATTCCCCCAACATATGGATAGCCTCGCGACTAGGCTTGGGTCCTGGATTTCGCGGGCTTCGGCCTGGCGGATTGCAATCCCAAAGTGGCCGTCGCTTCGGCGACCGTTGTTCGGAAATGGAACCGGGAGACGCCGTGGCTGGAAAAATCTAGGGAATCCGATGGGAAAAATGGAAAAATACAAGGGAAAAGGATGGAAAAGGAGGTTTCTATAGTTTTTAGCTAGCAAAATCATGGGAAAGGATGGGACATCCCTTGTATTTGTTTGGTTACTTGATTGGGAAAAATGTTGAACACACTTTAAAGGTTGGTTTTTAAGAGCAAAAACTGGACGAACATGAATGACCATGATGTTTTTGCAGATACAATGATGATTATGCAGATTTGGTTGGCTCACACGACATCTGAAACCAACTGGGCATGCCGATTTAACCACCTAAATAGGGTGGATTTACCAACAAGATACAGGGGTTTTAGTCATCCAAGTATGACGGATGTGGCAACAAAAAACTTGCCATCGGACCGTCAACATATATGTGGATTTACCAACAACATGACATGCGGGATGTAACGATCAAACTATGGTATTTAACAATAAACACAAAAGTGGTTGAATACGTTTTGTTATGTTACAAAATGATATAAAAAGGGACATATTGGGTAACGGCTGACTATTTTATTGAAGGGGATCTGAGATTGGTCGTGTTTCAACATAGACAAATAGTGCACTTGTCATGAATAATACTGAATTGATTTGGTTCAATAAACAATAATCCCATGTTGCCCATGCTTTATGTAATCTAAATTGCTGGGTGAAGATTTGCTTGTGACAAAACCCAGTTTGGGTAAGTAAGAATCGTGATAACCACGCCAGAAGGCGAATAAGAATTGCCGATTCAGTCAGAAGATTTAAACAGGACAAAACAACATGACCATGAAAACATTTATCGATGTTGAGATCCTCTTCAGCATGATTCATGAACAGTGTGACACATGCCCCCCGTCATGTCATCAGAGCATTTGAGAACCTGTCAACTTATTGTTCCTGATATCCAGCTGTGGATAGGTGTGAGGACTTTGGCCAGATGAAAGGACGAAGTGCGAATGCTGCCGAACGCTGCTGTCCTCATGGTGCCGGAAGAACATCACGGATTCCAACTCACTTGGCTCTACCCATTGGGCCCTTGAAACCTAAGGACGTCCTTAGAGATCCCCCTGGAGGAAAAGCCCTGTGTTTTTGTTGGCTGAATTCGATGGTGTTTTCTATTGTTTTCTAGTCAGATCACCAGTTTCCCACGTCCATTTCCCAAAATCCCACCAAAATCCAGAAAATTTCTCCGCCTTGGCACATGCCAAACAGATCTTGTCGACTGAAGCAGTGGGGCCATAGGGTCTACTTGGAAGATCATTCATACCGATCGTAAGTCCCCGATTTGTGGATCTATTACACGAGCTTAGTGGATTATTAAATAAATCTAAAAACATTATAACCCTTACTTGTAGCTACTATAACCAGTTAAATCCCTCCAAATGAATCACGTCAATGAAATCCCTTAAAACCTTAAATAACCATTTTGGGTCACGGTGAAGTCGTCCCATCAATGAATTTATCACATCCTATGGAGCTGCCCCGCACCCGAGGCTCTGGCGCTGCCGATGTTCGCCAGCCACTACCCTGAACGCTTCGGGCAGATCGTGCGACCTGGCGATGTCTTCGCAGCGTTGGAACGATGAGAGAATGGTGGTGATGATTGATATGCTTAGATGGGCCATGGTGTTAGTTAACTAGTTAGTCAGTGGATTATAATAATTGGGATATAGGGGGTTATATCCCCAGTTACTAACCATTTAGCTAATCCCATAGCCCATCTAAGTGATTGGAGAGTTCGAATGTGTTCTGTTCGGGATTTTTCCGTTCGAACATATGGGATTGAATGGGATGGAACCCACCAAACGTGGATTCTACAAGGTGGTGTCCCCAAGATAGCTAAGTTGGTTTATTACTCTAATAACTAGGACTTATGGTAGATATATCTACAGTTAATGGGATTATAAACCAACTTATAACTTGAAGGGCACCACCTTGTAGTGGATTTGATGTGACTTAATCCACCAAAGTGGGATTTATCAATCCATTAAAAGATTGGATCATCAATGGGATTTAACATGACTTTACCAACAAACATGGGGTAATCATACAACCAAATTTTACTCATCAACAATTGTGCTCTAGATAGGGTTGAAACATGTGAAAGGAATTTTCAACCATTTTATGAGACTTTAATGGGAGTTAATGGATTTTTGCATGGAAATGTAATTGATGGTGTAGTGGGGACAAAGTTGCTGCCCTCAAAAGGTACATGTTTGATCGAAGCACGACAAAATTGATTTTGGATTTGTGTCAATGCGAAGTTGGTTGAGCTTGAAACAACCGGGTTTTTGCATGTTTATATGTTGAAATAGTTGAAATAGTGATTTGAATGAACATCAGCCAGCAAAGCTAACTAGGGGCATCATACTGTGACTTGATCAATCCAAACACTTAACTCTCTACAAAAATCAAGAACAGGCCTCCATGCTAGTTGAGAGTCCACAGGCCTGTGAAAGAAAATAAAGACAATTATTGGTGATTGGTACAGTTATGGCCCGAGTTATACCAGTTATAAGTACTTTTACAAGTCACCCCATTTATAGAATGTTTCTCATCCCACTGAAATCACCAGTTATAACTGATTTGTATGGCCATAACTGTTTGGTATAGGCCAGCTATGGTTTTGTTCGGCTGAACATGGCTGAGCCACTTTCACCGAACCGAAACGAAGATCTGAGACATCTGAGCGAATGATAAAAAACACCATTATTCTCATAGAATCCCCGAATTATCATAGGAAAACCATAGGAAAACCATAGGAAAACCATAGGAAAACCATAGGAAAACCATAGGATCTGGTTGGTGGTTTGGAACATGAACTTTATTTTCCAGAATATATGGGATATAATCATCCCAATTGACGAACTCCATGATTTTTCAGAGGGGTAGGTCAACCACCAACCAGCTTTCATATTTCCGGTAATGAATTCCCCAAAAAATAAATCAATCCATTGAACCCCCCCGATTGCTGATGGTCAAGATCCAATTGGTCATAATGAAATCCTATAATGTTCATTTCTGTTTCATCCCCCGATTTTGTACCAACCCATTGATGGAACTCCCGTGAGCAAATAATGATAGTTCATTGCATTATTTGGCTGAAATCCATTTAATGGTTCAATAGTTCAACATAAACCATTACTATACCAAATGATGGGACATTGTCTTCGTTATATTGTGTGTGTAACTCCATTAATTATGCTACTTGGGGAGAAGAATGGACTTTTCATGACCTTTACAATTATTGAATAATCTGGGTTTATGGTACAATACACATAAATTATGGATATCCATAGTTTAAACATGCTATGAAATTATATGAATAAACATGAATAGACCATATTCATGGACTAGATGCTATCTCCTATTATATCTATAGTCGCCTATAATTAGTATTCATGGCTTTGACCAACAAGCATCATCACTCACCTTGTCACTGGCAGCGAGGTGCTTGAGCTTTCCCTATGCCTTCTATCCACTCTACGCAGCTGGAAGTAGGCCGTGCGCGTGGGAGGGGTAACGTGGTGTTGCGAACATGGTGATTGAATGGTATCAATTTATACCATGAAAAATGGTGAGATATGAAATTTCATGAAACAAAATCGTGGTTTATCGGAAACTAAGTGCGGATTTTGCTACACATGGGTATGATATCATAGGGATGTGATATGATAACATAATCAAAATACTAGTAATAATAAACATAATAATAATACTTATAGTGTATATATATATATATGGCTATGGATCAATACCTATACATACCATGTTTAGGGGGATGAACATCCATTTACCAGCTATTTTGATGTTCACCAGGGGTACAAGGTTTTGACACACTGCAATATATATATATATATATATATATCTATATTAATATAACTTGGTGCCTCGGAATGCCTAACAAATTTATGCTTAAAGGACACCCGTTGAAAGCGTAAAAAAATATTGTGCTCTAATGCTGGACCAATCTTGGGACTACGACGACTACGAAGTCACCCCAAAATTATGGGAAGGGAAACCCATGAAAACATTCCCAGATGCTGCCAGATGCTCCATGGTGCTGGAATATTTACCTACATTTACCCCAAAAATGACCCAAATGTAGGTAAATATTCCAGCACCATGGAGCATCTGGGATTTGGTTCAGTCTTGGAACATGTTCCGCCATTTATTCCTTTTCGGAAATAATTATGATCCATCTCAGGAATAAACAATAGTGGAACTCATTATTATAGTACACCATTAATAGTACACCACTAATTTCAGTGTTGCAAAATCAGCCACCATCTATTACTCGGGAAAGCAATGGGAAGTGATATCCGTTACTCATTACTCAAATCAAATATTGGAAAGTGTTGGGTTCAGTAGATGAATGGTAAAACGGTAAAATTATATGCCAACATATGCCAACAAAAGGATAAATATGGCTCTGAGTCAAAACGCTGGTACCCTTCTGAACACACTACAGAAACGATGGTAAAACGCTGGATGTTCATCCCTTTAAAAAAAAAACGGTATACCCGGCCTGGTAAACGTTTACATAACTATGGGAAATCATCATTTTTTGTCGGTAAATCATCATTTATTGGTAAAAATCAGCATGTTTTATTGGCAAATCAACTATTTCAATGGGCCATGGCTGAAACATAGCTATGAAACAGCCATGACAAAATGGTTTTTCGATCCATCGAATCCATCCCCACTAGGATCTTAGACAAAGACACCATGGCCAAAGTGAAGATTCTCAAAAGCGACAAGGCCCGCCCGGGCGACGGGCAAACCTTGGTTGTTGGTAGTTTAGTACTTTGATATGTACAATAAATGTTATCATGAGGATGTATATAAACTAATTAGCCAGGCCAGCTGTTTGAATTTTGTAGATATATTACTTATCTATTGGCCATGTTGACAATGTTGACCCTTCTTTTTTTTGGTTACTACAGAGGTTATACTAGAGTATATACTTGGTTTGTTCGGGATATCAAGAAACCCGGGACCCGGGACGATGATTTTTTTTGCATCGCATCATCGCTGTGAAGCTGCCGCAATGATCACAACCTGGGACCATCCAAGTGGCAACCTTCCCTAGCCATTCGAAAAAGACCTTGGTCATTGATTGGTCATCCTATATGCGAAGCATGGAGCTGCTATATATATATATGCAAACCTACATGACTGGGTGATTTGTTGGGCAAATGTTGGTACATATTCTAGCACCATGGAGCATATGGGAATGGTTATCTACCCATGTCTGGACGGTTTAACAAAAAGGATGTGCTGTGAAAGCATGATCACTAACTTGCTGGTGCTTAGGAAATGGAGGAATGATCCAATATATCAAAATAATAAGATATAATAAGTATAAACAATCATCCCATACCCCGATTCCCTACACTTATGGCTCTTTACAGTTGTAAACGGGTTGATTTCATGATATATAACCTGAGCTATAGGAGTTGTGATTCCGTTTAGAACTGTTATTTGGGCCTTAGGTGTACTAGGCACCAGTAAGTTCGCCGTTAATGTTGTTCCACTTGTTCCAGCCGCTCAGCCGAGGAGTGGAAACGCTACGGCGATGCCTATTGGAGTTGCGACCTGAGATCCATAGAGATTCTCCAGCTCCGCTAGTGGCCATTTCAGGGAGCGACTAACTGGTAGGTACCGTCACCAGCCATATATCTCTGGCCCATTGTTTTTAGGGTTATGTAAGTTTTTGGAAATATCCTGTCATAAAATATGGTTCTTTTATTTGGATTTATTTGGTACAGTACTTGACGGTACTTGGATTTGTGCCGATGAAATTGGCTGATGTTCGCGCGATGGGAAATTCACTAATTACTTGGGGAATCCGTAAGCAAGTCCAAGGTTATTTTCATCAAAAGGGTAGTGATTTGATTTATATATATAACCTGGTGAACTTCGGTTGATGGAGTTTATGGTTAACTTAGTATACTTAGCTACATCTATATCGCCAGGTTTATTGGGGATATAAAGTAAACAATTTTTAGTTGATGGATGTTGATGGGCTTTAGAAACCAACTTAAAACTGGGTAACCTAAAGCCAAAGCAACCAGGATCCAATACGTAGATGGTCATAATGCCAAACAGGCCCCTCTACGTTTTCCTTAAAAGACCATAGCAAAGTGGGGCCCCTAAACGCACAGTTAGCTAAGTGGATTGAAATTAGCTAAGTTGAAGTGTTGGGCGAAATGACAGTATATCTCCAACTGTGTGATACAAAATGGTGCAAAACTCGTGGGGGCCAACGCAGAACTGGTCCTTCCCCACGAGATGTCTGCTCTTCAGAAATTCCTGGTGAGATCTGGTGCCCAATTCGTGGGGTTGTCCCCCGGATTAGATTGTATTAACGTATATGTATATAGCATTCACCAAAAAGATAGACATATTAGACATATAGAATCCCTATATACTAGATTACATAGTGACACCTTGCAATGTTCTATTTTTTGGGGGGGTCATATATGTACTGCGTATATAATACAGTTATGGCCATTTGTCAGTTATAACTGGTTATTTCAGTGGGATTATACATTCTATAAATGGGGCTATAAGATGTTATAAGTACTTATAACTGGTATAACTCGGGCCATAACTGTATGGCACTTGGAAATTCGGAGGGTTGTTATCCACCCGGTTATCACCATCCTGAGGTAATGATCCAGGGTCAGGGGAGCTCAGTCTCGGCGTTTGGAGCTGTTGGGCACGTGTTTTTTAGTGTTTTTTTCCTTTAATGAGTCGATTTTGAAAAACTGGTTCTAAATGGGACGATCCTGAAACCCAGTTGTTTTCTCCAGCGCATCTCAGCCATGATTTTGGTGAACGGCAAGGTGAGTTGATAATTCTGCAAGGTAACTGGTTCATTTCCCAAAGCCATTTTTAGGGACAATACAGTTTTGACATTGTACAGTTGGTTTGTAGCCCCGTCCAACTATAGATATATAATGATTTATATTTAATTATATATATATATTCTATATATATATATATTATAGATACTGTATATTCACTTGTAACTTGGCTGACTCTGACATACTGTGGATGGAAGAAATCCTGCACCAGTTGGGAACTATTAGGTACCAACGAAGCTCTGTAAATAATGGGATGCTTATCGGATAAACCATCTACCAACTGGTGCAGGATTTCTTCCATCCACTGTAGGATTGATGATGATGGAATATGATGGACAATGCCCCATGTCTAGATGAGTTTCCTCTTACAATGCCCGTTTAGTTTGGGGATTAGGCAGCCATGTTCATATACCCAAGGGTAAACCACCATGAAATCACCGTTCCCTATTAAATCACCATGAAATCCCCATGAAATATCATGAAATCCCCTATCCAATCCCTATGAAATCCCTATCAAATCCCCATTGGATCCCTATTAAACCACCATGAAATCCTCATGAAATCAGCATTCTTCGAGCCATTTTTGGTGTCACAGCTGTCACGCAACCAGCCGCTCACCAAGGATGAGGTCTTGGCTCGACGAAGCTGTAAAGTGTCCGCCAAGCCCAGCTGATTTTCCTTGATTCAGCTGGAAACTTCGTAGGAAATTCAACTGGAAATTTGACAAATTCAATGTGTTTTTTGCATGGGATTTAACCAACAAACATGTGGATTTGATGGGAGTTAATCACCAAAAATGAGAATTTGAGGATTTAATCGAGTTTAACCAGCAGCAATGGTGATTTGATATGATGGAATATATGGAGATATAATGGAATATATAACAAACAAAAAGTGAAAACTTGTGATTTATAGCTGGTAAAAAAATGTGATTTATAGCTGGTAAAAAAGGTGATTTAATGGATATTGTAATCAGATTCTATAACCACCGATATGATGTTTGGATGTACCTGAAAATAGAGTTATGGCCATTTATCAGTTATAACTGGTTATAAGTGGAATTATACATTCTATAAATGGGGTTTTCTTAGTACTTATAACTGGTATTTCGGGCCATAACTGTAGAGGTTATCCCCAGTGATGGCCATGTTAATATGGAAAATGATGAGAATTCCCATTGGAATTGGTACGGTGGATCCGCAATCGTCATGGTCCAATGACGACTGGATGATTGGGGGGTACCCCCATGACTTGGGAAAGCCCTTTTTTGTGTGGGTCAACTGAATCGAGTTTTACCAAATGGTTAAAAAAATGTCTACTGCAACCATCTAACCAATGTTCATGACTATTAACTATCCACAGAATGTGTTGGTCAAAACACGACATTTTTGGGACCCCCAAAAGCAATGCCCATTTCAACAGAATAGTTCTTATACAGTTATGGCCCTTTACCAGTTATAAGTACTAAGAAAACCCCATTTATAGAATGTATAATCCCACTGAAATAACCAGTTATAACTGATAAATGGCCATAACTGTAGAATAGATTGGCTCAGCTCATCTTTCCTAAGAACACAACATCGACTCAGGATTTGAATCTTGGGCTTGTGGAATCAGGGAACCAGTTGGAGTGGCGAATGGACCTCTTTTTTTGGGCAGACCCATTTTGTGACCAGGTGACCACGTGACCACGGTATGAAGTGTTAACAGATATACAATGTTTAGCGCTAAAGGGCCAGTGTTTTGTTTCAATAACAGATATTGTGCTATGCTTCAACAACATGGTGAGAATTACCTATTGATACCTTCATCTTTGCAGGGTGAGACAGTTCACCAGTTGAAAGCTTAAGACAGTGCATGTCACATGGGTTGATCACGTCCTAAGGCGGTGATTAGCACTCCATTTGAAGCCAATAACTTACATAGAAGAACCTGGGCACTACGTGGCATGATATCCCATTTAGAAAAAACAACATAAAATCAAATATTTCCGTAAATGGATTCTACACCTATAGTGAAATAAGATGAAATAAGTTACAAACCAACTTATTTATATCTCAGAGGCCTCGGGTAATGAAGGTCCAAAGATGAGGCCCGCCAGGTATGTTCGCTGCTTATAAACCCCATGAGTACTATAGTTATAGATCCTCCATTCATCAACCCAAACGTTAACTAAGTTCTTTGCGCCAACATCTCGCCATCATTAAAACCTGTAAATCCCATTGAATCATATTAAATCCCCATGTGTGAAAAATCCAGATTTCCTACAAAGTGGGGCCCCCAAACGATAGCTAAGTTGGTTAATGACACCACTTTCACTATGGTTTATGATACTTATTACATCTTATATATGACTATATATATATAGCTGATAGGGTTTATAAACCAACAAACAGAACTGGGGGGGCCCACCTAAAGTATGATGGGAATCCCAAGAAATCCCACATCATCTTCTCTGACGAATCGCCGAGGCAAAGGAGTCCCTGGAAGTTTTCCTGGCCCCGACTTCACGGAGCAACTGAGGTCCGAGCTCAACGGGGAGAACGGGGGGAGCGCTCTTGGGAAATTCCGAAGTCAGATGACTTTCGCTTGCGAAATCAGATTTCTGCTATCTGATGAAATCTGATGAAATCTGATGAAATCTGATGAAATCTGGAAATCCATATTTGTTTGTTGGGTTGGGTGACATTCTACAAAACTGATGAATAACTCGGTGTTCCATAGCTAGCAAAGCAGTCATGGGGATTCATAGCCAACAATTGCCATAATTCGGGGTAACCTGCGACGTGAATACCATGTATAATGTTCACGGAAAACAGTTACAAAGTGGGGCCCCCAAGATAGCGTTCAGTTGGTTCATAACTCCAATTTCACTATGGTTTATCATATGTATTACTAAAAATAGTTGATAGGGTTTATAAACCAACAAGCATAACTGGGGGGCCCCACCTAAAGTACCCTCTGATAATCATGGCAATGAGAAATTCCCGGTGGATGTTCCAGCCATGTTTGATGGAAGTTAACTACAGTCACAAGCCATAAATCGTATAAGCTGATTGTAGTCCCATAAGAATCCCATTAGATTCCCATAACAAAACAAGTCAACTCCTATAAAAGTCCATTAACATCCATTAAAATCCCATTAACATCCATTAAAATCCCATTAAATATCCCATTCAAATCCCTAGAACATTATTAGAAGTGGAACTTCCGACAATGTGGAGAGATGGAAAAGCAGAGGTGGGAAGAGTCAGAGAAGAGAAGAGCAGAAGAGAGAAGATCAGAGAAAAGAACAGTGAGAAGAAAGAAGATGCAGGTGCGCGAAAAGGTAGGAAAGTCGCGAAACACGGTGTTTTTCCAATGATTTGTGGGTCCGGAGGGTCGAAACGCGGGCTCGCTAAAGCGGCGGGTGCGGAGCCATCTGGCCAAATGAGAGATGAAATTGTTGCGCGAAGCACATGTCGAAGTCAAATTGCAGAAAACACCTCAGCTTCGGAGCACTTTAGAAGTTGAGATGTCAAGAAAAGTGCGCGCCGTTGTGGCGCGAAGCACATTTCGAAGTCAAAAGGTACAAAACACCACATGTTCGCGCCACTTATGGACGTTGAAGCGTCCTTTTGTGTGGCAGGTGCAAGGGATTCAGCACCTTGCCAAAAGTGAGCAAAACGTGAGGGTATGGTCGCAGTTTCAATTACAACCACCATTACACTCCACTACACTACACTACACTACACTCAATTACACTACATTCAATTACACCACACTACACTGCACTACACCACACCACACTACACTACACTACGCTACGCTACCCTACGCTACCCGACACTACACTACACTACACCCACAACTACAAATACAATTACATTTACAACTACATTAATTGCACAACAGCTACAACTACAACTACACTACACTACACTCCATTGCGCTACACTACACTAAGCTACGCTACGCTACGCTACCCTTCACTACACTACACTACACTAACTACAGCTACAACCGCAACAACAACAACAACAACACCAACAACCAACAACTAACAACCAACAACCAACAACCAAACAACTAACAACTAAGAACAAAGAACAAAGAACACAGAACAAAGAACAAGAACAAGAACAAGAACAACAGCAACAGCAACGGCAACACCAACCACTACCACTACCACTACAACTACAACTACAACTACAACTTCACTATACTACAACTACACTACATAACACTACACTACACTAATTACATTACACTACACTACACCACACCACACTACACTACACTGCACTGCACTGCACTAACTGCAACTACAGTTGCAGCTACAACTGCGACTACCCTACTTTACACTACTCTGCACTACACCAGACTACACTACACTACCCTACATTACATTACACTACACTCATTACACCACCACACATGCAACTGCAACTACACTACGCATCCCCCACGTATAGCTCACTATAAAGTGGACATCCTTTGCGCTTATAAAGTGGGTTTCCGGTCGCCACTTATATACCGACAATGGGGGACAAAGCCGTGTTTTGCGCAAGAAACATGCCCTTGGACCTGGAAGATGACTTTATACAACGTTGGCTTTCCAGTTTATACCCGGCTGGTTTCCCACAAGGAAACGACTCAATATATGGGGCAATGCATTTTATAGACCGTCGGTTCCCTTTTAAAGAATTACCATAATATTCACCCATCTACTTTATAGAAACCAATCTCCCCAATGATTTCGGGCCAATATTTTTTTGTTGGGGCTATATACATGGCAAAACACTTTATAGAGTGAAACTTGCCCTTTAAGAAGGGAAATTGTGCTGCAGCCAGGGCACTTTATAGAAAGAAAATTGCGGCAGAGCATTTTATAGAGTCAATTTCCTTTGAAAGGGGTCCTCGGGGTGAAAGGGGTGTCTTGGGCGCGCTGCGCGAGCGCGCCAAAAGTGTCTCCAAATTAAAGCTCTTTTGGCGCGCGCGCGTGCGCGTGTGCGGCGCGCCCAGGGCCCCATTCACCCTGAGGACCCCTTTCAAGGGAATTTTTTTTCTATGTTGGACTGGCCACTTTATACCCTGCCCGCTGCTCGACACAGGTATTACTATCTGGATGTTCGGCATCTCACTTTATAGTCATGGGACATGTTCACAAGTACCCTCAGAAACCCACACCGATTTTTTGTTTTTACGCGGCCAGGCGACTTTATACAACGTTGGATTTTGACTTTATAGACAAAACCTGTTGGCTTTCCACTTTATAGACGCCAATCATGTGACCATTCCAGTTTATACAAGGCTATTATCTATAAAGTCGGCCGCAAAGCATCTAGCGAGCTGTACATGGGGGATCACTACGCTAATTACACTACACCGCAGCTACAGCTCCACTATACTACAACTACAGCTGCACTAGACCACACTACATCCAGCAGTTATGGGTGAGGTGACCGACCAGGTGACCACGGCAACCATTGTAACCACTCCAAAAAACACAACTCCAACCACCTTTCAGTCCGTCAGTGGATTCGCTCTGCCATCCGTGATTCACAATAACCAAGCTCTCCTATAGGTTTCCTATTCTGAAACTTCCGCCACTGCCTTGTGCGGTACTACTGGTATAAAATCCTATCAAACATCCATAAACATCCCATAAAATCCAACCAACATCAAAAAACATCAAACTTCACAGAGGTCTATCAAAGTCCTTTAAAAATCCAATAAACATCCAATAATTTCCCATAATAATCCCATAGAATCCCATAAGCATCCAATCAAATCACCATAAAAGAACATCAATGCATGGACGCATATGCATAAGATCATAAACTATCATCAGATGCATTCCCAAATCATACCAGGCATTGGGGAATCACCACTGGCGGAAGCCCAGGCGCACGCCCGCCACGGAAAACGCTATCAGGACCAGGGATGTTTGGCGTGTTTCTGGTGGGGGCAAATGTACATGGTGATGGGGCCATGTATATTTCATGGTGAGTTCACGGTGATTTCACGTTGATTTCAGGGTGATTTCATAGTGATTTCAGGGTGATTTGAGGGTGATCAGGGTTATTTCAGGGTGATTTCATGGTGATGGTGATTTCACGGTGACTAGCTAACATGTTCACGCATTTTCCATCCAGTATCAGAGCCCCACGTGCACAGATTCATCATTATATATCATTATTTAAGATCCCCATTGGCATTTCCTGCACTTAGATGAGCCATGGAGTTAGTTAACTAGTTAGTAAATGGATTATAATTGTTTATTTTTGTGTTATAACCACAGTTACTAACCAGGAATCGCTAATCCTATGGCACATCTAAGCAGGAACTGGCCCGTAAGTGACCCTCATGTTCAGCCTCCCGGAAGGTGAACCAATAGAGCAGATGGCCAAGTTTTTTCCGCACAGTGAAAACTCAAGGCTCAGGAATTTGAATCGATAAAGGGGAATATAATATAATATATATATAGTTAATATATATTTATAATTATGTGTTGAATTATTTATATATATAAATCTTACAATATATATTTATATATATATATATTGTAATATTTATACAGTAACCAATATATATATATATAGTAATATATAGTAATATATATATATATAGTAATATATATATATATATATATAGTAATATATATATATATATAGTAATATGTATATATATATATATATATATTATTTTTATGTGTATATATATGTTTACATATAGTAATATATTATTTCATATATATATATATAGTTAATATATTTATATATAGTCATTTTTTTATAGTAATACATATATCATATACATTTACAATTATACTTAGTATATGTATATATTGTAATATATTTATATATATATAGGTGTTTAAACAGTATGTATATATAGTAATATATTTGTGTAATTAGTAATATACATATATAGTAATATATATATATATATATATTTAGTAATATATATATATAGTTTTTTATTATGTACATATTATATATACTTATTTTTTATTTATATAGTAATATTTTTATACATATAGTAATATATTATATACAGATATATCTATATATGTAGTTTATATATACATAGTCTTAAAATTGTTCATATATATTTAGTAATATTATATATATGTATATATATAGTAATATATTCATATATATATATACTTGTTTACTTAGTATGTGTTTATATATTTATAGTAATATTTTTTTTATATACAGTTAATATATATATATAGTAATATATTGATATGTATATAAATAGTTGTTTAAATAGACAATATTTTTTTTTTTTTTAATAGTAATTTGTTTGTGTAAATAGTAATATATATATATAATAATTTATTTATAGTATCTATCATATCCATGGGGTTTATAAACCGTCTTCTAACTGGAGGGCCTCACCTTGTAGATCCCTGCCATGTCTTTTGTTTTTTTCCCGAGAGTGTCTTAGCGCAGGGTTCTTCCAATAGTGGGGGTCTGTCTCTCATCTTCTCATCTTCACATCTTCTCACTTCACATCTTCTCATCTTCACATCTTTCCACTTCACATCTTCTCATCTTCACATCTTCTTACTTCACATCTTCTCATCTTCACATCTTCTCATCTTCACATCTTCTCATCTTCACATCTTCTCATCTTCACAACTTCTCATCTTCACATCTTCACATCTTCACATCTGCTCATCTTCACATCTTCTCATCCTCAAATCTTTACATCTTCACATCCTCACATCTTTACATCTTCACATCTTCTCCTCTTGCCCTCTTGGCCTCTTGCCTTCTTGCCCTCTTCTTCACATCTTCTCATCCTCACATCCTCACATCTTCATCACATCTTCTCATCCTCACATCTTCACATCTTCTCCTCTTGCCCTCTTGCCCTCTTGCCCTCTTGCTCCTCTTGCCCTCTCCTTCTTTTCTATTTCTCTTCTGAAGGCGGGGGCAGGGGCAGTGCCAACGAGACGGCACGAAACGCAACCTTTTCGCACGAAATGAGGTTTGATCGCCAAAAACTGAGGTAAAATTGCGATTTGAAGGTGCCCCGCGCAACCCTTACGCACGAAACGAAGTTCGATTGCCAAAAACTGAGGTAAAATTGCGATTATTCAACTTATCCGGCGCAACGCTTTCGCACGAAACGAGGTTCGATCGCCAAAACTGAGGTAAAATTGCGATTTCCACTTGTCCCGCGCAACCCTTTCGCACGAAATGAGGTTCGATCGTCAAAAACTGAGGTAAAATTGCGATTTCACTTGTCCCGCGCAACCCTTTCGCACGAAATGAGGTTCGATCGTCTAAAACTGAGGTAAAATTGCAATTTCAACTTGTCCCGCGCAACCCTTGCGCATGAAATGAAGTTCGATCGTCAAAAACTGAGGTAAAATTGCGATTTCAAGTTGCTCCGCGCAACCATTTCGCACGAAACAAGGTTCGATCGTCAAAAACTGAGGTAAAATGGCACGAAACGAGGTTCGATCGTCAAAAACTGAGGTAAAATTGCGATTTCAAGTTGCTCCGCGCAACCCTGTCGCACGAAACGAGTTTCGATCGTCAAAAACTGAAGTGTAAAAGCGTCTGTGTGTAAAAGTGTCTGTGTGTAAAAGTGTTTGTGTGTAAAGGCGTTTGTGCGTGAAAGCGTCTATGTGTGTGCAAGCGTCTGTGTGTAAAAGCTTTTGTGTGCAAAAGTGTCTGTGTGTCAAAGTGTTTGTGTGTAAAAGCGTCTGTGTGTAAAAGCGTCTGTGTGTAAAAGCGTCTGTGTGTAAACGCGTCTGTGTGTAAAAGCGTCTGTGTGTAAAAGTGTGTAAAAGCGTCTGTGTGTAAAAGCTTTTGTGTGTAACTGTGTGTGTGTGCAAGCGTCTGTGTGTAAAAGCTTTTGTGTGCAAACGTCTCTGTGTGTCCAAGTGTTTGTGTGTAAAAGCGTCTGTGTGTAAAAGCGTCTGTGTGTAAAAGCGTCTGTGTGTAAACGCGTCTGTGTGTAAAAGCGTCTGTGTGTAAAAGCGTCTGTGTGTAAAAGCGTCTGTGTGTAAAAGCTTTTGTGTGTTACTCTGTGTGTGCAAGCGTCTGTGTGTAAAAGCTTTTGTGTGCATTTTTTTTTTGTGTGTAAAAGTGTCTGTGTGTGCAAGCGTCTGTGTGTAAAAGCTTTTGTGTGCAAACGTCTCTGTGTGTCCAAGTGTTTGTGTGTAAAAGCGTCTGTGTGTAAAAGCGTCTGTGTGTGCAAGCGTCTGTGTGTAAAAGCTTTTGTGTGCAAAAGTGGCTGTGTGTCAAAGTGTTTGTGTGTAAAAGCGTCTGTGTGTAAAAGCGTCTGTGTGTAAAAGCTTTTGTGTGTTACTCTGTGTGTGCAAGCGTCTGTGTGTAAAAGCTTTTGTGTGCAAAAGTGTCTGTGTGTCAAAGTGTTTGTGTGTAAAAGCGTCTGTGTGTAAAAGTGTCTGTGTGTAGAAGCTTCTGTGTGTAAAAGCTTTTGTGTGCAAAAGCGTCTGTGTGTAAAAGCTTCTGTGTGTAAAAGTGTTTGCGATGCAGACTATTGTCTTGTACTTGTGCTATATTGTCTTGATACTCCTCTTCTCGACTGCCTAGAACACATCTTTAATATATTGTTTTGTAATATGGTGTCTCCAAACTAACAAGAGAAGACCCTGCTCCTCTACGCTCACGGGCCATCCGTCGTCTAGTTTTTTTTGCGCCTGAGGATCTTGGAACGATGTGCCACACACCCTGGGTGTCACAAGGATCACAAGCATTGAGGGCCGGCTTGCCGCTGCATGGCGACCGGTCCCTTGCTCAAAATGCCAACACGGCTCTTGCTCCAACCTTGAAAAAAACCCTCCATTTTTTTCATATATATTTTTTTTTACCAATCTTAATAGTCATGTACACCAAGTTGGGGGTAATCCCCCCTGAAGAAAATAGTCAGTGTTATTCATCCGTTTGCCAGAGAATGTCATCCCTGCAGTTGAATGATCCCGGGCAAGACTTGTGGGGCAGAGAGAACTGGCTTTCCAAGTTGCGCAGGGCGAAATTCTCCGGCTGCGCAACGAATGTAGAAGGGGTCTCACCTGATTCGAATGGTGGAAACGATGGCTGATGGTGATACCTTCTCACCATTTGGATTCCAGAAACCTCTTGAGTTTCATCTTATGTGTGTTGGGGATTCATCTGGAAAACTTTCATTTTTTGATTTGGAATGGGGAGTGATATTGGCAACATTTTTTTTTGGAAAATGCCATCATGATGCCATCTTTGCCTTATGTGTGTTGGGGATTATGGACCTTTCGATTTTATGGGGAGTGTATTCAACATGGAAAATTTTTTGGAAAATGCCATCATGATGCCATCTTTGCCAGCAACTGGATTATAGACCTTTCGTTAATTGATCGTGTCAATGGAAAATCTCCTATTAACATATGATTTTTTACCCTTAAGCACTCCATTAATTTAGAGGATATTTTCCAGCCAGCGTTTGATGACACCGGAGGGTAATCGATTGTATGTACCCACTTTTAACAGGATATGTCTAGTTGCGAGCCACTTATAACTCTCCCTGAACCTGGAATCTGGGCCGAAGCAGGTGGCCCACAGAAAATTCAATGAACATCAGAGAGAACTACAAAGTGGCACCTTCGAAAGGACTAAAACTCGTGAACGGAAAAGCATATGCAACACCCATGTCCAATAACATTTCCCCGGAAAATCATTTTGCAACATGGTTTTCTGGTTTCCATCGATTTCCATAAGCTGCCCAGTGATGTGAAAGTTGCATTTTATTGCTTTATCTTCACCCACCGAAGTATGTTTTTCTTTGTCATCACAATATTTTTTTGTAAAAACACTGGTTTCTATGGCGTTTTTTCATCATTACTAGTTTCTATGCTACAAAAACACTGGTATATGTTTTTAAGCAAGAAACATCACCATTTTTTGTTTAAAAAAAACATATTACTATGGTATATGCTAGAAACCCATAGTATATGCCCCAAAACATCTATACGAAATAAATCGAAATAATTAGAGTTTCGGCTTGCTAGAAACCGTCAAGACTTAGCCAGCTATGTGGCATCAAATCACTATCCGCTGCTTCGTTTCCTCCCTTCGCATACCGGGTGCAACTGCGATCAGCACAGCTGGTCTGCTACGGGCACACGTTTCCATCTAAGAAGATTGTTTTTAGCACAGATCTGTGTAATGTCAGATAGATATGAATACACATACGTGTCACATATGTACAATATTTATTTATATATATAATATTTATATATACATAATATATATACATAATATATATATACATAATATATATATATATATATATATATATACATAATATATATATACATAATATATATATATATATACATAATCTATATATATATATACATAATATATATATAATATATTTACATAATATATATATATATATACACATAATATATATATATATACATAATATATATATATACATAATATATATATATATATCCAACCTGTTTTTTCTGCCCATGAAGATGCCAACATCGACCCTGACCAGTCCATTCTTGAGATATTTTACCAACGAAGTTTCCTCGTATACTTGACAAGATCTATTTAGATCGGCCGTGCAGGGAGGTGGTTATACACCTGTTTAGCAACTATTAATTAATATATTTATTAATACTTATAAATGGTTGATCACAGAGTGAGACTCATACACAACCCACGGTAAGACCCCATAACGCAGCTTGTCGGCTCACAGCTGGGATCCTGAAATAGGGGAGAGCCTTAACCCAAACACTTCCGTTTTGGGAGGGACTGCCTCCTTGCGGGAGGCGCTCGGTGGCCTGTGACCATGGAGCGCCTGCAGCGGCGTGGGGCTGACCTGGGCCTGTCGCCGAGTGATGTTGAAAATGCCCTGATTACACGGCCAGGCCATGAGCTAGCTTGGGTAGTGGGCAGTCGAGCCCAGAGCGCGGAAAGGAATCCATGGGGTAGTTCCTGACAAGTCAGGCGGCAAAACAGCAGGAGGCCGGCCGCACAGGAAAGAAAAACAAGAAGGCCGACGAGGAGAAGAAGGAGAAGCGCAAGAGAGCAGCCAGCTCAGACTCCAGTTCGGCTGAAGAGAGCGAATCCTCCAGTTTCAGTTGACCCCAGCTGTGGAGGATCGCCCACAAGAAGCCCGGGCAGTTGACTTGCCTGGGACTGGACGACATGACGCGCTATCTATAGCGGACAATATTTATAGGGACCTTGGACTTGAAATGAGATGGGCAGAGAGTGACGGCTTATTTTATAAACCAGATTACTCTCGGAGCCAGCCCATCATCCGCAGAAAGTCGGATTTCGCATGGTGCGCGAGCTTCAGCCGCTGGCGGTCACCTTAGATCACCTCCTCGGAGGACGACTTCCGCAGGCAACCCTGCTGCAGAGGTACAAAGCTTGCGAAATGTTTTTATGGGACGGGAATTGGGTGACTGCCCGCCACTTGGAAATAATACCGCCGAGTATGGCAAGCCTCGTGCGCAGCGAAGAAAGAGAGATGGCCGCCCGCCAGGAGCTCAAGGCAGTCGGAGAGCCCGTGCAAAGCCGGAAAAGGCTAGGGGTTCGGCAGCGGGTCAGACCCACGCTCGGGGAGACCTGTGAGCCCTCAGAGAAAAAGAGCCCAGATCGACACCTTGAATGGCCCCTTTGGGCGACTGCTTGAAAATCCGCTGCCCCTGTGGCCTGATGTGATTGAGGCCATGGAAGAAGTGATATATACAACGCCAGAAGTACAAGGATGATCCGGGCGAATGGCGTTTCAGAAAGATCTGTTGGCTGCACTTCACCTTGAGCAGCTGGGGTACATGCCGTGCAGTCTGCTGGGGTGACTAGTGCTTGCAAACAAGGCACTAGCCTAGATGTTTTGGTGACTCAAGGGCGGTGGCAACATTTGTACATCGATGGTGGGCCTCCAGTCCATGGCGAAAATCACCCACCCGCCCAGGGCCCTTGCTTTGTGTGCACAAATGGCCAGCCATTTCAAAACTGTGAGCCAGAAAGGGACGCGTGGAATGAAGATAGCTGGTCAGCGCACTGCGGACCCCTTTGGAGAGGCAGTTCCAGACGCTGGCGAGGGCTACTGACGGCTGAAAGCCTTTTTACAGTAGCCTATGCAGGACATGAGTATCTTGCCTTAACAGATGGCACAGGTTGTCAGCGACAAAAGCCCGTGCTTGGAAGTGCTGGGGTCGTGGGAGTGAGGAGTTTATATTTTTATATACACACACATACATTTATTGTTTTGATTTTATGGTTTTTATTGTTTGTTTATTATTATTTGTTGTTATTATTATTATTGTTTTAGTATTGTTACTATCAGTATTTTTAATTTTATTATTAGATATGTTTTTATTCTTATTAAATATTGCTATTGATATGTAAGTTTTATTTTTTATATATTATATTATATGTAGCTTATGTTATTCATTGTTTATTATATGTACATTTATTGAAATTTACATTATATATATGTTATGTTGTTTTTATTTTTATTGCTTTACTATTAGCATATTTTATTTTCCTTTTTATTATTATCACAATTATTTTTCAAAAATATAATGTACTTAGATTGGCCATGGAGATAGTTAACTAGTTGGTAAATGGATTATAATTGGGATATAGAGGGTTATATCCCAGTTTCTAACTAGTTAGTTAATCCCCTGGCCCATCTAAGTATATATATCTATCTATCTATCTATCTATCTATCTATCACTGGGTATATGCGTATATAATGTTTTTTGTTCACAACTAACCTGGTCACTCAACGCGGAGACGGTCTATAGCTAAGTTGGCGAACATAGCTCCAATATCTACGGTGTATGTTAGTTATACCCTCTGGTTATTTAACATAGCTATAGAAAAAATGCCCGTTTGTAGATGAACTATGATGCTTTATTTGAAATGGTGATTTTCAAAAGCTACGTTAAACAACCTAAAGGTAAATTATAATTATAGTATTCGTGCCTTGCAAATACTATGGTGTTTGTCCCATGTTTCAAGTTTTCATTCCACATGGAACTGGCAGCAGAAGATCCTGGCAATTAGAAGGTGCTGTCATAACTAGTATAACTTGCGTTGATGGTGATTGTATCTAATGTGGGTAAAGCAATGCCACAAACCACCCATGACTGGTACTGGTTTATAGCACCTATAAAAATGGTGATGACTTGGGGATGGCTTATGGCCTTGTTTTACCAACATTATAGTATTCATGGGGTTCTGTTGACCAACTTCATGAGGTTTTGTTGACCAACTTATAACTGGGGGGAACTCACCCCGTACATCTATCGGACATGTTTTTGTAGCCAATAAGTTCTTATTGGTGCCCCCAAAATAGCTAAATTGGTGCAAATAATTCTAATAACTAGGACTTATGGTGGATATGTCTATACTTAATGGGATTATAAATCAACTTATAATTTTTGGGGGGCACCACCTTGTAGCTTTAATGAATGGAGGGTAGGCAACAAACAAATACTTCGCCAAGCTAACGTTAAACACCGCCCAGAGTCCTTGGTTTGATATTGGATCAAGTCATTTTGTGAACCCTTTTTTTGGGGAGAAATTCATGTGGTGATTTGTGGATGGAATTAATGCTGCCCCATCCAGAAAAAACAGTGGTGACTACAACCACAAAAGTGATGCCTCACAGCCTCACAGTTGGTTAATAATGTGTTCTTGACAGCTGGGACTCTGGTGGCTATACAGTACGGAGGCATCTCCTTGTTCTTT